AAGCACCAGCGGCCGCCCTATCCCAGGCGGCCACCAGGTCTTCCGTTGAGTCGTGAGCCAGAGTCTCAGGAAATGGCCCAAGCTCCATTCGGAACCTATCAGGCTCCATCAGGCGCCTGGGGCGGAACCACCTGTTCAGTTCCGCCTCCCTGAGGTGGGGTGTAACGGTTAGAAAGTCAAGTCTAAGGAGGGAATAGTCTGACCATGACAAGGGTTCAATGACTATATCCCCTGTATCTAGGCCATTCAACCACTGATCAGAGACAAAAACCAAGTCCAGCATGTTTCCTCCTATGTGAGTGGGGCCCTGAATTAATTGGGTCAGGTCCATGGCCATCATGGAAGCCATGAACTCCCGAGCCACCTCAGACGCTTCACCGATGGAAGGCAGATTGAAATCCCCCATGACTAAAAGCCTGGGGGTATCAACCGCCACCCCGGCTATAACGTTGAGGAGCTCAGGCAGGGTCGCTGCCACGCAGCATTGAGCCAGATACACAACCAGTAGGCCCATCTGCCCCCCATGGCCCCACTTCAGCAGGAGAGACTCACAGCCAGCTATCTGAGGTACAGCGGCCTCTCTAGGATCAAGACCTTTTTTTACAATAACCGCCACCCCCCCCACCCCACCCTGGGCCCTCGGCTGATGAAATGCGCAGAAACCCAGTGGGCACATTTCTACGAGGGGGACCCCCCCTCCTGGCCCAACCAGGTCTCTGTAATACCCGCCAGGTCCGCTCCCCCCTCCTGAATCAACTCACAAATGAGGGGGTCTTTATTAATCACGGACCTGGCGTTGCACAACATCAGCCTAAGACCCAGGCTCTGAGGCTCTGGACAACCCAGGGAACGAGAAGAGCATTGGGTGCTGGAGCATGTTACCGCTTGGAGGCAGCGGGTACGTGCCCCCACAACATGATATGGCCCCCTGCTCCCCTCATACCTGCCCCTCCCACCCACAGTACTGATGACATCGCCCTCTTCCCTCGCAACACCCACCCCCTCAGATCCCCACTCCGCACCTCCCCTAACGCGGCCCTGTGCCGGGCCTGGCACTCCCCCTAACAAATCACCCTCCCTATCCTTTGCCAAACAACCCTCCCCCCTCCCAAAACCCCTTAAAAATTGGCAAATGACAATTTTAAAAAACCGCTCAGCCCCCTCTTCGCTGCATGCCACCTCTTGGGGTTCCAAAACCCGTCATCGAGGTAGGCCCTCGATAGAGTGGAGGGCCAATCCTGCGAGAGGGGGGAGTCTCACAGAACAAGAAGCTCAGCTGCCAAATACATCTTGCCACAGGAGGATAAGTGACCATGTCCCAAGGGTCCAGATGGAGAATAAGAGGTCCAGGGAGGACAAATAAGATGGGGGCATCCAAAGTCCAAGGTCCAAAGTCCATTGTCCCCTCACCACAGTGGGTAGGATCTCTTGCCAAGACGACACAGTTCAAGGGGGATACAATCCAACCACCCTCTCACAGTGATTGGTCTGATGGTCAATCCCCTCTACTGGTGAGATGGAAGTAGTGAACCACTACAATATCAAACACAGCACAAGGGGTTAAAGTCCATGACCACCCTCTCACAGTGGTTGGTCTAATAGTCCACAACCACCCTCTCATGATGGTTCGTCTGATAGTCAATTCCCTTTGCTGGTGAAATGCAGGTAATACCATATAGACTCAGCCCGAGGGGCACAAAAGCCAAAACCACCCTCTCACAGTGGTTGGTAGGATAGTCAGTCCCCTCTGCTGGTGGGATGGAAGAAATACACTGGCTCCCATAACCTCCCAACACAATTTACAGTCCCCTTAATGGCAAGAGGGGGGGCTCAGATGGATATGAGCCAAACTTCAGTGCCAGTGAGTCCGTAAATGGCAGCCAGTCCGAGATAGGCATGATGTCAGGGGAACGATGGAAAAATAGGGGGGAGAAAACTCCCACCCCCAGCCCCCAAAATCCAACGGAGGCCTCCCAGTGACCGTGAGGAACTAACCCATCGACAGGGCAGCCCTCACGCCAATCCTCGCCAAGCCTGGACGGTCAGTGTTCCACTTTGCCACGTTGACCCCATCGACCACCTCAGCAGGGTTGACAGCCGATGCTCTCCTCCCTGCCATCGCCAGGTGGCCGCCATTGCAGCCGCAGCCACCGCTGACGCCGCTTCCACTGCCGCTGCCAAAGGAGGAATTCTGGCAGTGTCCCCAAGGTCACCAGAGAGTCCAGGAAAACCTCTGAGCCTGGGGCCATGCCCGGACCGCAGACGACCTCAGCGGACCATCACCGCTTCGACCTCCAAATGGCTCCAGCAGAGAGGAATGCCGCCGCCGCCCAGCTGGTGCACCCGCAGCGGATCTCTCCGGCACCGCCATCGCTGTCCCATCCAGCCACGATCTCCCAGGGGGACAACCCCCTCAAACAGGCGGTGGGGAACTCCCCCAGCCGAACCAGGGGTCAGAAATTGCCAAAACGACCCCCAAAGGGACCCTTGGGGCAAAAGCCCCCATCCACAAACTGCGGCTCAGGCAGACTCCACCATCTTGGACATGCACAGTTTGTCTCTTGGCTATGACATTAAGCAGCTCAGGCAGGGTCGTTGCCACATGGCAGGGAGCCAGGTACGTGGTCAACAAACCCATCTGCACTCCATGGCCCCACTTCACAAGAAGGGACTCACATCTGGCTATCTGTGGAACAGTGGTCTCCCTCGGATCAAGACCTTCCTTTATGATAAACGCCACCCCCCCCCCCCCTGCCCTGAGCTCTCGACTGGTGGAATGCGCGGAAGCCTGGTGGGCACATGTCTATGAGGGGAACTCCCCCCTCCTGGCCCAACCAGGTCTCCGTAATGCCTGCCAGGTCCGCTCCCCCCTCCTGAATAAGATCACAGATGAGGGGGGCTTTATTTACCACAGATCTGGCATTGCACAACAACAGCTGAAGGCTCGGGCCCTGAGAGTCTGAACAGCCTAGGGAACGAGAAGGGCTATGGGGACTGGTGCGTGCCACCGCTCGAAGGTAGCAAGTGCGCGCCCCCACCACATGATATGGTCCCCTGCTCCTGCCATATCTGCCCCTCCCACTCAGCGTAGTGATGGTAAAGCCCTCGGAAGAATGAACACTAATGCCCCCCTTACCCCCGGAAACCGCACCCTCCATGGCCTGACTGACAGCTGAGCCAGATCCCTCCCCCGTGGGTTAATCCCCAAACCCATACAACCCTCCCGCCCCTTAAAACCCCTTAAAAATCTGTCTAACAATTTCTCCAGAAAACCCCTCAATCCCCTTTTTGCAGCATGCCACCTCTCGGGGTGCCAAAGCCCGTCATAAAGGTAGGCCCTCGATAGAGTGGAGGGCCACACCTGCGAGAGGGGGGAGTCTCACAGAATAAGAAGCTCCGCTGGTGAATACATCTGAATAATCGCGGGACACCCATGGCCAGGGGGTCAATCAAGTTGTTCCAAAATCCGGAAAAGGGATATCCAATCATGTCCAAGTCAGTAACTCCACTGCTCTCTCACAGCAGTGGATGGAGTCTTAAGCCATTTCATGGCCAGATGTCAACACCAGCTGGCCTCTCACAAAAGCTGGGAAGGGCCAAGAACCGCAGTCATCGTCCGACTCCATAACAGACTTGAGATCCAGGGTATATCCCTCTACAATAGGAGAGCAATTGATGACAACCACCAATCTACAGGACCCCAGGCCAGGAAGAGACTCCGGTAGCTGCACCTTAGGCAGATCGGGAGGCCAAAAATCCATGGGAGGAAGCTGTCATATTGTCCAGAGGTCACCTCCAGGTGATAAGTAGCCTCACAGAGGCAAATGGACCATACGAGGCACGGAAGACATGGCCAGAGATATTTCACGGCCAATAGGGTCCACAATGCCTCTAGCTCTAGCTCACCCCCATCCACATAAGGAGGATGGGAGAAGCCTCTGAAACGACCAGGGGTGGGCCCTCTCCAAGTGGGTCATTGCCCCCTGGCCGCACAGGAAATCCCAAAAACAATGTTGGTGGCAGGATGGTGTAATGGTCGGAGTGCCCCTCGCTATGACGAACAATTCTTCAGGGCAGTCCATAATCCCTAGAATAGCAATAACACTTAGATTTATATATCATTTTGCAGCCCTCTCTAAGCAGTTTACAGAGTCAGCATATTGCCTCCAACAATCTGGGTTCCTCATTTTACCGAACTCGGAAGGATGGAAAGCTTAGTCAAACTTGAGCCGGTCAGAATTGAACTGCCTAATTTCTGGTATTCTACTGCATTCTAACCACTGCACCATCATGGCTCATGCACCACCAAGCTCTGTCAATGTAACTGCAGTTGGAAATTTGAGGAATTGATGGCTGAAAAAAGAAGGCAAAGAGATTGAGAAAGCCTCTGATAACCATCCAAACAGTAGCGTTCAAAGGATATGACTCACAGACTAGTACATAAAATTATCTTCCACAACGTCCTATCTGTCAATGACTACTTCAGCTTCAACCACAACAATACACGAGCACATAATAGATACAAACTCAAGGTAAACCGTTCCAAACTCGATTGCAGAAAATATGACTTCAGTAACAGAGTGGTCAATGCCTGGAATGCACTACCTGACTCTGTGGTTTCTTCCCCAAACCCCCAAAACTTTAACCTTAAACGGTCTACTGTTGACCTCACCCCATTCCTAAGAGGTCTGTAAGGGACGTGCATAAGTGTACCAGTGTGCCTACCGTCCCTGTCCTAATATTTCTTTTTACTTTTACTCTTTTCATGTGTTCAAATTATGTTTATAGTTTTACCTGTTATCTTATATATGCTTGACAAAATAAATAAATAAATAAATAAATAAAAATAAATAAGTAAGTAAGTAAATATAAAAAAATAAATAAATAAAAATAAAAATTCTTAGAATTGAGGATTTAGGAAAGCCTGTAAGTGGCATATTAACTATAAATAATCTGTTTTATTTGATTGTAACATTTCTCAACTTTGATTCACTTGGCAGCCTGCAAAACAATATGGAAATATATACTCCATGTGGCTTGGACATCGCTTTGTAGTAGTGCTGTCTGGATTCAAAACTGTGAAAGAAACAATGACCAGCTTCCCAGAAGAATTCTCTGGTCGATCAGATGATGCTTTCTTCACTGCTTTAGGGAAAGAAAGGGGTAAATGCAAATAATAAGGAATTGTATATGAAAAACCATCACACTGTTACAATTTGTATAATATGCATAACATGGAGGGAATAGGCAAGGTATAGTTAACAAAATAATTTAAAGTAATGAGGTACGCAAAAGAAATATAGCTATAATCCAGTTTTCACCAAATTATTATATGTCTCAATTGCATTTTATCTTGTCGATTACATTCATACATTGACTTAGACATGACTTCTTTTTCACTAAATATCTACCTGCTTTTTCAGGTTCTCATCATCCCCATTCAACAAAAACTTTCTCAATCTTCCCTTGCCTCTTCAATCCTTTCCTTTGTTTCATATTTTGCCTTTTTTTAAAAAAAATTGCCTCTTCCTTCAAATTTTGCCACTTTCTCCAGCTTGGATTTTCATCAATTCTCTCTATATGGTCAACCCACCTAAAGGCAATAATTTCATACTGACTACCCACATACAGAACCATCAGCTTTCAGTACTTTCTATGTATAAGAATTAGATTTAGTTGAGATCTGTTCTAAGCTAATAAAATGTCCAAAATTGGAATAAAATCAGCAGTTTAATTATTTTACCTGAAATCAAGAAAACAATTTAAACACTTAAATACCTTGGATTGAGGATCACAGTGGCTCAGTGGCTAAGACGCTGACCTTGTCAATTGAAAGGTTGGCAGTTCAGTGGTTTGAATCCCTAGTGCCGTATAACGGGGGGAGCTCCCGTTACTTGTCCCAGCTTCTGCCAACCTAGCAGTTCGAAAGTGCGTAAAAAATGCAAGTAGAAAAATAGGGACCACCTTTGGTGGGAAGGTAACAGTGTTCCATGTGCCTTTGGCATTTAGTCATGCTGGCCACATGACCACAGAGATGTCTTCGGACAGTGCTGGCTCTTCGGCTTTGAAACAGAGATGAGCACCACCCTCTAGAATTGGGAACAACTAGCACATATGTGCAAGGGGAACCTTTACCTTTACCTTGGATTGGAGCTCCTAAACCTCAGACAGAATGAGAAAGTAACAGCACTCTCCATCATCCATGACCACCCAGATGCATCAACTATTTTTGTTTTCTGATAAATGCAAGGTGGAAAACTTGCCTGGGGAAAGAGTTGCTCTAAGCATATAACATCAGAATCAGAATCATAACAGAGCTGGAAGGGATATTTATTTATTTATTTAGAGAAACATGTACAAGATAACAGGTATAAGTATAAACATAAATATGAACATAGGAAATGTGTACAAATAAAAGGGGACAGTAGGACAGGGATGCTAGGCACCCTGGTGCACTTATGCACATCCCTTACAGAGCTCTGAGGAATGGGGTGAGGTCAACAGTAGACAGTCTAAGGTTAAAGTTATGGGGGGTGGGGATATAACAACAGAGTCAGGTAGTGCATTCCAGGCATTGACCATTGTGTTGCTGAAGTCGTATTTTCTGCAATCGAGTTTGGAGTGGTTTACCTTGAGTTTGTATTTATTGTGTGCTTGTGTATTATTGTGATTGAAGCTGAAGTAGTCATTGACAGGTAGGACATTTTAGAAGATAATTTTGTGTACTACGCTTAGGTCAGACTGTAGGTGGCATTGTCCTAGGTTGTCCAAGCCGAAAATTTCAAGCCTGGTGGCATAAGGTATTCTGTTGTAAGTAGATGAATGGCGTACTCTTCTTATGAAATACCTCTGGACTTTCTCAATTGTATTAATATCCAATATACAGTGCGGATTCCAAGCAGACAAGCTGTATTTGAGAACTGGTCTAGCAAAGGTTTTGTATGTCCTAGTTTGCAGTACAATATTATCGGAGAAGAAGCTTCGCAAGATTAAGGTGACAACTCTTAATGACTTTTTGGCAATGCTATTACAGTGAGCTCTGGTGTTTAGATCATTTGACATGAGTACTCCAAGGTCCTTGACAGAGTGAGGGTTGTCTATGAAGTCGTATCCGCCCAGCTTGTATTTGGTGTTCTGATTTATTTATTTATTTATTTTTGCCAATGTATAAGACAGAGCATTTGTTCTTCTAGTTTGGCATTTGTTCTTCTAGTTCAGCCCTCTGCTCACTTTCAGATAAGTGGCTGTCCAGTCTTTTCTTAAAAACCTCCAGTTTGAAGCACCCACAACTTCTGAAGGCAACTTCTGTTCCACTTGTTAATTGTTCCCACTGTTAGGAAGTTTCTCCTCAATTCCAAGTTGCTTCTCTCCTTGATTAGTTTCCATCCATTCTTTCCTGTCCTGCCCTCTTGTGCTTTGGAAAATAAATTGACCCCCTCTTCTTTGTGGCAACCCCTCAAATACTGAAATACTGCTGTCAATACTGCTCTCCTCATGGGTAAATCTGCTTGTTTTAGGGGAAAGGGGAGTGTCTGTTTGAGAGAGTGAATCAAGTGACTGCAGGGAGGAAAGTGCTCCAGTTCACCTCATGAATGAATCTGCTTGTTTCTAGGAGGAGGGGAGAGTGGCTGTTTGATTGAGTGTAAGTGGGAAGTCTTGTTAGCTGTGTACGGGGGGGGGGGGAATAGTTAGATGGTGTCCATCAGCCTCGGAAGGCAACTCATGTAGGTGAAGGAAAACTCTGATCTCAAACCTTGGCCCACTTGTTTAGGTCAGTTCGGTGTCAGGAAGATTTAATTTAATTTAATTTAATTTCCAATTTATATACCGCCCTTCTCCCTGAGGACTCAGGGCGGTGTACAGCCAAGATAAAAAACATAGAATACAAATATTAAAACATTTAAAAATATATATAAATTTTGGCCCGAAAGTTAAGAATCACAGACTAATTAAAAGAATTTAAAATTTTTTAAAATTTCTTCTTAAGCCAACCCGGCTTGTTGAAAAAGATAGGTTTTCAGGGAACGACGGAAGGCATTGAGGTCCTGGATTCTTCTTATCTCCAGGGGCAACTGATTCCAGAGGGTGGGAGCCCCCACAGAGAAGGCCCTCACCCTGGGGGCCACCAGCCTACATTGTTTGGCTGATGGCACCCTGAGGAGGCCCTCTCTGTGGGAGCGCATGGGTTGATGGGAGGACATCGGTAGCAGCAGGCGGTCTCGGAGATAGCTAGGCCCTATGAATGAAATAATGAATGAAAATGGCCAATGCCTGCTGGAGTTTTGCTGCTAATATGGTTTTTGCATTAGCAATACATACTTTAAAACAAAGCCTCAACACAGAGTCTCTTGGAGACATCCAAGATCGAAGCATTGGCACCAGCTTGACTTGATTCTTACCAGGCGCTCCAACTACCCCAATATTACAAGCACACGCAGCTATCAGGGTGCTGCTTGCAATACAGACCACTCCTTGGTGTGCAGCAGAATAAAACTGCAAATAAAGATATTGCATCACTCAAAGAATATGGGAAGACCACGAATTGACATCAACAAGACGCACAGTCAGGGCAAAGTGGAGGAATTTGCACAAGCACTCAAGGAAACTCTCCCAGGCCAGGCTGAAGTAAATGTATCTGAACGATGGGAATATTTCAAGAATGCTGTTTATAACACCGCCTTGTCAGTATTTGGTAAAGAGATCAGAAAGACAGCAGATTGGTTTGAAGCCCATTCGGAGGAGTTGACACCAGCCATCGAGGAAAAAATGAGAGCTTTAATTGCATATAAAGCCTGTTACAGTGAGCGCAACCTACAGGTTCTGCGAGCTGCTCATAGCAAAGTCCAGCCAGGAGATGTGCTAACGATTATTGGCTGCAGCTTTGCTCTCGGATCCAGATACCCAAACCATTCTGCTGTCTTTCTGGTCTCTTTTCCAAATACTGACAATGTTATAAGGTTTTTTTAAAAAAATATGAGCGTTATAAGGAATCATTTATCATTGTCTGCTGATGCCCTCAGGAATTATTTTCTCCAATGGCCACACCTGGAAACAGCAGCGACACATTGGCATCACTTCTCTGCGGAAGCTGGGCCTGGGCAAGAAAAGCATTGAGCATCAAATAGAAGACGCAGCTCAGACATTGGTGGAGATCTTTAGAGAAACAAAAGGTATGTAATTTAGGGTAATGGCTCACATTTTTTCATTCTGTGTATTTTGAACAAGAAATGTGTATTTGATATGAATTTTTTTTTTACATTTTTGAAAAAATTGATAAGAGTTCCCAATTTTTTTTTCATCCTGTAGTAGTCCTGTTCTTTAATAATTCATTATGAAATATCTTCATTTGCAGGACAGCCCTTTGACCCTTCAATTCCAGTAATAAATGCAGTTTCTAATGTCATATGTGCTTTGAGTTTTGGGCATCAGTTTGCCCCTGAAGATGAAAACTTCCAGAAATTAATTCAAGCCCTTCAAAATATTGTGAAATTCAGTGGTCGCTTTTTTCATTTGGTGAGTCATTTTTTCTATTAAAGAGGCAAAGCTGTTTCCCTCAGTATTTTCATGTAATCATGAATGGAATCCATGGAGGAAGCCTTGGAAATCATCTTTTGTACTATTATTCCCAGTGGATTGGACAAGTCTTTAAGTTTTCTTGTCAAGATTTTGGAAGTAGGTTGCCATTGCCCACTTCCCAGGGTCTGAGAGAGAGGGACTGGTCCAGTTTCACCCAATTGATTGAGTGCTTGAGTTGGGACTAAAACTCAGTTTCTAATTTGTGCATTAACCACTGTACCAAAGTGGTTCTGCCAATGAAGGAATCCATCATTTCAATATTCACCAGCAGTTGGCTGTCCATTCCATATTTAAACAGTTCTAGAAAAGATGACCACTTCCTGGGTCAGTCCGTCATTGAACAGTTTTTACAGTTTTTTCCTAATACCAAACCAACATCTGCTTCATTCTGATTTAAACTCATGGCTTCCATCCAGAACTTCTTTTGCTGCATTAACAGAGGGATAGAATCAAAATCACGTGAAGGGTTAGTACCAGTTTACAAGGCCTTGGTAAGACCACACTTGGAATATTGCATCCAGTTTTATATCGCCATGATATAAAAAAGATCTTGACACTCTGGAAAGAGTCCAGAGAAGAGCAACAAATATGATTGGGGGCAGGAAACTAAAACATATGAAGAATAGCTGCAGGACTTGGGTATATCTAGTCTAGTGAAAACGAGGAGTAGTGGTGCATGATAGCAGTGTTACAATATCTAAGGGGCAGCAACATAGAAGAGGAGGTCAAGCTATTCTCCAAAGCCCCTGAAGGCAGGATAAGAAGCAATGGATGGAAACTAATCAAGGAGAGAAGCAACTAGAACTAAGAAGGTATTTCCTGACAGGAAGAACAATTAAACAGTGGAATGGCTTGCCTTAAGAGATTGCAGGTACTTCATCACTGGAGGTTTTTAAAAAGAGATTGGACAACTATTGTCTGAAATGATAAAGAGTCTTTATCATTTCAGATAAAGTGGGGGGGGGGGTTGGACTAGAAGACCTCCAAGGTCCCTCCCAACTCTGTTATTCTCTTATGAAAACCTAGCAAACCGAATATCCAATCCATGTAGTTAATTCATTTTTTAGCTTGGCATGTGAATCCAGATTTTTTGAAGAATGGCTTAGTTAGCCATGGTTAACCATATTTAGAAAGGCTCCTGGAGAGAATGAGAGAATTTTATAATAGCTTTATAAAAATCAATCTGCCTCTAACATAATTCTTTTCTGGAAGAATTTGGGAACAGCTTTTCTGGAGGACTTTTGAAGTCTGACACTAAAACATGGTTTGCCATATTTTAATGTGCTTGTAGTGGGTTTTTTTTAGGTATTAAGTGCTGTCTATTACTGTAAGCTTCTGAGAGCCTTCTTTATTTGTAGTGGGGAATAAATAAACTTTTCCTTTTCCATTTCTATTAGATGTTTATTATGTTCCCAAGATTAATGAACTACCTCCCAGGCCCTCACAAGGAGGCCTTGGCTTCTGCAGAGACAATCCATTCCTTTGCCAAGCAAGAAATAAAAAAACACAAGGAATCCAGTGCTCTGCATGAGCCTCAAGATTTCATTGATCACTACCTTCTACAGATGGAGAAGGTATGGGTTTACTGTGGTTCAATACATGAAAATGGAATCACTATATTCCTTGCTATAAGCAAACAGGCTTATAAGCAAGGCTACTGAAATTGTCTTCACTGGATTTTTTTTTCTTTTTCATTCAATTCCTATTCTGAATTTAGCCCATTTTAATTCAGATTGCTTCTAAATAGGGGGCTATATTGTACCTCTGCAATCTTAAACTTAAACAAGAGAGATTCTTTGTAAGGGGAAGTTAGAATTATTTTTGTTTGAATCCTCTCATGTATGCCTATCACTCTTTCCTCTTCA